ATACATACTTTTGATATTTGTAATTTAATATTTTATATTGTATCTTTTAGTCTTATATCCATATTTCTATTCTCAGATCTAAATTTTTAAAGATTGCACTTTTTAGTTTAATATTTTCTGTTGTATATTTTTATTTGTACATTGTATTTCCTTGCTTCTAATAGAAGTGTTGTGCACCAAACACCAAGCCAAATTCCTTGTAAGTCAAAAACCTACTTGGCAATAAACCTTATTCTGATTTTGACTTATTGCACGCTAATTTGATCAAAATAATTTCTGTTTTTTTTCTTGATGTGTTGTTTAGGGGCCAAAGAAAGGCTTCAGACTAAAAAATCCAAAATTCTTCCTATTTTTCTTGGATAAGGGTTTAAAGGGTAAAATCTAAAATATCCTTGTTCTCCTGGAGTACAGATGTGTGCTAAACCCTCTACAGTGTGACAGACTAGACCCAATTTCTGTTTTATCTTTATTATTATCATTTATAGTTTTTTGTGTTTATTTATCTATGTTAGGTTTGCCTGCCTCTTTCTGTTTCTGTTTCTGTTTCTACGATGCTAAATGCTTCATCACCCGCATTTAAGGCAATAAAACTCGTTTATGGATAAAAAAAAATCCAATATATCTTCCTATTTTTCTCGCATCAGGCTCTAAAGGGTTAAATCTAAAATATCCTTGTCCTCCTGGAGTACAGAACTAGATAAGATATGTGCTACACCCTCTACAAAGTGACAGACTACACCCAATTTCTGTTTTATCTTTATTATTATCATTTATAGTTTTTTGTGTTTATTTATCTATGTTAGGTTTGCCTGCCTCTTTCTGTTTCTGTTTCTGTTTCTATGATGCTAAATGCTTGATAACCCGCATTTAAGGCAATAAAACTCGTTCACGGATAACAAAAAAATCCAATATATCTTCCTATTTTTCTTGGATCAGGCTTAAATCTAAACTAAAGCAGGAATCAGCGGTGTGCTCTCAGTGGCGACGCCTGCTGGCCGGAGGAGGAACTGCAGCTAAACAGGCTCACTCTGTTCCTCACCGGTCTGGGGCTCCTCGCTCAGATCCAGAGTGGTTCCCTCTCCCCTCTGGGTGAAATCCACGTGGTTTATTTCCAGGGTGAGCTGGCAGTGGAAGGTGCGGCCGGCGGCCTCGGGCCCCAGGTTCAGCAGCACGAACAGGAAGGACTCCGCACTCTCCTGGTACAGAAGCGTGTCGTTGCACCGAATCTGGCCCCTCTGGCAGAGCAACTCTCCTCTGAGAGAGAGAAGAAAAACAGCTACAGTTGGTCGTTTTTGATAAAAACAGCTACAGTTAGTCGTCTTTTTACAGCCAAATCCCAGAAAAGCTGCTCTGGCCCCTCTGAGAGGGAGAAAGAAAAACAGAGAAATAAAAAACAGCTACAGTTAGTCGTCTTTTTACAGCCAAATCCCAGAAAAGCTGCTCTGGCCCCTCTGGCAGAGCAACTCTCCTCTGAGAGACAGAAATAAAAACAGAGAAATAAAAACAGAGAAAGAAAAACAGAGAAATAAAAAACAGCTACAGTTAGTCGTCTTTTTACAGCCGAATTCTAGAAAAGCTGCTCTGGCCCCTCTGGCAGAGCAACACAGACTCTTCTCCTCTGAGAGAGAAATAAAAACAGAGAAATAAAAACAGCTCCAGTTGGTCGTCTTTGATAAAAACAGCTCCAGTT